CTAAAAGAAGAAAAAATCAGATTTTACAAAAAGGCGTATTCATCAAAAAAAACTGACTAGATTTGAAAATAACTGCAACCGCCTGGGTAAACAGCTGAGTAAACTACTACAAAAATCTTTTTGATACTCGAAAATCTGGTACGTTAGATATGAATTCAATTTACCGCCATTCGATTAAAACTGTTTTCTTGACGTTAACTATTTTACTGTTTTCTAACCTATATAATTATAAAAAATTATTGAATAAAATACAGGTGTATTTCAATTCTAAACAATTTCAACTATGTAAGGTTTTCAATAAGCAATATGTTTTAAAAGTTACTTTAGATGTGGTGTAAAAGCAGTAGTTTGATCGGCAAACTTCCTTATTTTTAGTGGAACCCATGTATGGTGCCTCCATTCCGGCTTGACACTGCAAATCTGGCAGATTTATCAGCTTCATTAGTGCTATCATATCAGGCCGCTCAACATCATTACACTCGTCATAGTTGCTGAAATTCTATGATCAATTAGATTAGTGGAATAATGCTGGAAGAAAAACTTTAAGAACTGAATTATTCATAATTTTTATTTTGAGAAAGAGGCAATTTTTTGGATAAAAAGTTTTTTGAAACTAGTTGAATGTTTTAATAAATTTCCAAAGAAATTAGCAGATAAAACAAGAATGTGCATTTTTTTTTTAATATTTATTTTACTGTGAATTATGCAACTGAAATTGAAAACCAAAAGTAGTTTAGTTATAATTGTATTTATATAAATTATAGAACCATAGAAATTATCATCTCATTAAATAAATGAAACTAAGTATACCATAGAAGTTCAGACCTTATTGCCAACTCATTATTGTCTAATGAGAATCAGCAAAGCTGAAAGTAAAAAGTGAATAAAGAACAAGAATTTAGTAAAGGTCACCTGTAGTACATCAACAAATTTCTCATAAATTAATCACTATACTTTTCATTAAATGTTTAGCGCAGCAAAACTACATTCAACAAAGTTCAAAAGTTTAGCTTTATTTTTGTTTAGTTCTTTAGTTTAGGAACATTCAAACCAAATAATTCGTTCTATTTATCTGATGCTAACCAAGAAGTTTTCGAACAAAAATTTTAGCTGTAGATTTTTGAACAGGATTTTTATAAGCAGAACATCTAACAGATTAATTATTGACAGTAACGTTCTACTTAAAAAAAACGAGACGAAAGAAGAAAATAGATAAATTTAGCAAAACTTTGCAGAAATATCATCTAATAACTATCATCTTTACAATAGCAGATTTATTTTCTTGACAAGAAAAATTTTTTCTAATGCAATTTTAAGGAGTTTAGAATGATGAAAGTTCGAAAAATTTTTTTGGAATAAGAGAAAGCGGTTGCCTGAAAATTTAGTGTGCACTAAAAACATAGTCAAAACTAGCTACAAAACAAGTTTTTTAACTTTTTTTTTTTTTT